TGATGACAGAGTTCCAGAAAAAATGAAATTTCTAAATAATATAAATAGCTATATGACAACATATAGATTAACTCTGTCTTTCCCGTTTGCCAAATCTTCTTATCTCCAATAATCATTGCAACACAAATTGAGTGATTTGTTTCCTAAAAAGTCATGGCCATACAATATTTGTTTCCCAAATACTATGATGACTCGCTCAAAGAAAACCAAACTAAATCATCTTATAACCTGACACTTGTCTATAAATTAATGTATGTTTAAAAAGGAAAAATAAAATAAGATGAAAACAGAGAGAGTGGCAAACCATAAGAGACTATTAACTCTAGGAACCAAACTGAGTGTTGCTGAAGGGGAGGTGGGTGGGGAAATGGGGTAATTGGGTGATAGGCATTAAGGAGGGCACCTGATGTAATGAGCACTGGGTATAATGTGTAACTGATGAATCACTAAATTCTACCCCTGAAACTAATAATACACTATATTTTTTTTAAAGATTTTATTTATTTATTTGAGAGAGAGAGAATGAGAGACAGAGAGCATGAGAGGGAGGAGGGTCAGAGGGAGAAGCAGACTCCCTGCCGAGCAGGGAGCCCGATGTGGGACTCGATCCCGGGACTCCAGGACCATGACCTGAGCCGAAGGCAGTCGCTTAACCAACTGAGCCACCCAGGCGCCCAATACACTATATGTTAACTAAATTGAATTTAAATATTTTTTAAAAAGGATAAATATAAATATTTTCCCTAATCTGTTTTTTAATAGGAGGCAGTTTTCCTGCAAGAGGTGGGTAAGACTCATATAGGGTTAAGGGAATTTGGATGAAATGGAAGGACATGTATTTATTTATAGACAATAAACACTACAGTTTGCCTGGAACATAGAGTACATTTTGAGGGCGTACTGCAAAATAAAAGAAGAAAAAAGCAGGTGTGATTTGTCTTACAAGTATATCTAAAATAATACATGTTGGAATTTAAATGTTTTAAGTGTTAATGTTGCGCTCACTAAAGAAACTAAAAATATGTTAAAGTTTACTTTTGTGATATGAATAACAACTAGCAATCTATTGAAATTTTAAGTTCATATATTTGTACAGTTTCTTGCTTAAATCTTGGGATAATTATAACTAGGAATGTTTTGTCATAAAAACAAGAGACTTGGAAAATCTTTATACCTTTAAGGTGCATGCTTAGAGAATAAGCTCACAAGTCTTAGCAATAAAGCAAGGCTTAAATTAAATATTCTCCTAAATTATTCAATTAACTGGAAATACCTCACAGATACTTGTAAACAAAATAGTTTAAATAATATAACATGTCTTAATTTGAAATTTGATCAGGAGGCAAGAAGGCTTTACTGCATCAGTGTTTCAATAAATTAAACATATATAGAAAGTTTATAAGGAAAAATCATATAAACCTTGATTACCATTTTGGTGAGGCATCACTTGGTAATCATATGGTATTGATACTTTAATTCAGACTTGAGTGGGGAATTTAAAAACAGATGTAAATACTATGGAAAAGTTGCCAGTGACTATTATAAACACTATAATTTAGTTGGTATTTTAATATGATTCTTGTTATTCTCAGATCTCACCATCTAAAATGTCAGGAAAAAGAAAGCGATTTAAGTTGCAGCTAGAGAAAATTAGGTAACAAAATAAAATATACAGGGTTTTATTCCAGTTAAGAAATTAATAGCAATAAGGAAAAAGTTATGGGAATTCCTCCCTGGAGATGTTTAAGAGCAAGATAAATGTCCATCTGCCTAGAATAGTTTTAGTGTGGCTTGCCTGGAGGAAGAGGAATAAGATCTGCTAATTTGCAAAATTTTCACAGCATCAGTTTCATATCGTCAAGTTGCTGCCTTGAGCATATTTAGCCAATCCACAAGATTAGAGTAAGTGCTTCCAGTGAAAATCTTCTGATAACTGGAATTTGCTCTCAATAAAGCCTGAATGTGGTAAATCCAATAAACCTGTTACAGTGCACCAGACTGGGCATTTAGACAGCTCTATACAAAATATCGTCGTATTGTTGTAATGCAGTAAAATACATATTTCTTCTGTCTAGACTTCTTTTTTCTCTTTTATTCTGGGAATGAGTTGGAACAGTAGACATCCACTATGCAGGATTATGCAAGTTGTAAATGCATACAGTGGAATGATAAATAGGACAGAGTACTGTACCTCTCCAACCATGCTGAATATTAATAATGTTAATTTTTGAGTCATTTTGACTCAGTTGTTACTTGATGACTGATGGTTACCTTGAATAATAATACGGATTAAAATTTACCCTCAGTTCTAACATATTTTACCAGACATCTGCTTAACTTTTAATGGTTAAACTAATCTTCATACAAAGCCCCATGAAACTGCTATTTTTTTTGGGGGGGAACAATGTAATTTGAACTATATTTCAATTATAGAAACATGCATTTTAACTGTAACATTCTATAAAATTGTAGCTATGATCCTAATTAATTAAATAAACCTATAAATGTGCTGTGGTATTTCAATGTTGCTCTAAAGATCTTTGACATTGTTATGTGGAAGGCAGCAAGAATAGTGGAAATCGATTCTAACTTTGCATTGATTCTTTAATAGATTCTAACTTCCTCAATCCACCCTTGTCTGCTGCAACTCACCAACACATAACATGAATCAATATCCTTGAATCCTTGAAGATTCCTTTAGATTTTCTTTCAGGAACTCTTTCCTACGATTCCCTGATTACCTCAAGCCATATTTTTTATCTCTCTCCTCAGCACCTGTAGCATGTAATACCTTGCTTATAAATCAAGGTCTGGTGTATATTTAGTACTTTATGCTATATTTTCTTTTTCCACTTATTAGCCCTATGTCCAATTGACCCATACTAGACATGGATCTACCCTAACCATGCCCAATATTGCAAACTACTTCATGTTCTACTTTCCTAAATCTTTACCACATCTTTTTAAGGGCTAACTTCTAGTGGTTGATTAGTGAATACTTACAGAATGAAATAATACACTCCATTTTATAGCATTTTACTAAAAGGCCTTTCACATATCTTCTTTCCCTAATAACCACATCAAACTCAAGCAATTATATTCATTTTACAAAAGTGAAACTAAGACTCAATGGAGTTTACTGATTTGTCATACCTACAAATCCAGTAAGTAGCAAGATTCCAACTCTCCAGTCCTAAACCCATCTCTCTGTATACATATTAACTGCCCTTAAATTTGGAGGGAAAATGATGCATATAGGGGAAAAAAAGATTTTCAAGATCCTGCTAAATCAATATCGCATTCTTCATAGCACACTGCCTAGCATCTCACTTTTCTTTTTATCTTTAAACTTCTAAAATCACAGTCTTTAAGGGTAAATAAAGAGGACATAAGGAGGAATCCCAACATGATTAGTATCCCATTGCCAAATGTATCCTTAAATATGGAAGATGGGCTACTTATAGACTTGGATTCCCTGAATATCTTTACTAAGAAGATTAAAAGCCACCTGTTTTAAGGATTTAGAGATAATACTATTGTAAGATTGCAAGTGGCATTTCCAGAGGGTGGTCAACTATAGCCATGATTATCCTTTTAAGTGACATACAGGCAACTTGAGTAGGTGCTGTATTGGGATCTTCATATAGTTCTGACCAGACATAGGACACAAAGGTAGTTTTGAACACCTTACATCTCAGAATCTGCCTGAAGACCTCCTCAAACCCTAGCAAGAGCAGATAAAAGGAAAGCAAACAAAATCCTCTTAACATGCAAACATTCATGAAAACCTAGGGCCAGAATTTTAAGGGCTCCACACATTTATATCTAGAAGTCTATATTTTTCTGTCTTTACTTGTACATTCAGAAAGTACAAATTTAACGCAAAAATCATTTACACTGAGGAGAAGATGCAGAGGCCAAAACTTGCAGCTTTATAAACAGTCATCCTCTTTGACGACGGAAAACATCTGTCTCACTCTTCCTACTGGAAAAATAATGTTGTATCCCACCATGGAGAATGTCGAATATAAGTTAATTCTTGAAAAGTGCCTGCATTGTTTATCACTAGCTAAGAAATATTGAATTCCTGATAGTTAATCTCAGCACACAGAGGCTTTTTTCCCCCTACATTCCAAAGTAATGTAAAAGCTACAGACAACACTTTATGTCCTAGCATTTGCAGTCAATCAAAAACAATCATTTTCAAAGACTTGTGTAGTATTTTAGAATTTATAAGATACATATTGACAAAATTAGGATTTTTACTGAAATCTTAAATCTGATATGTATCTTCAAAGCAATAGGCACTTGCAAAAAAACACTTCTACACAAGACACTGGATTTATAAAAGGAAAATTCAGAAACATGGTTTCCTTTACTTCATGCTTTTTTTTCTTTTTAAAGAGGGCTATACACATATTCCTTCATAAAGATATGAGGGGAAAATATGTAAGAAAAATATTCACACAAAGGGAAAGACATAATTTTCTCATTCTCACTTTTGGCATGTAATGAAAACAGTGATCTAAAAGTGATAAAAACAAAAACAAAAACAAAAACACTATAGCTCCAGGCTCCAGGCATCTCTAACAAGAAAATATTATCTACTCTTTCTAGAAAAAAATAGTTTATATTCTTCATTTCCAATAAACATTGATAACAAGAGAAAAGGGAGTTATTGATGTAAGTTGACAGTAAAAATGAAGAAAATATGCTGTAAATACCTTTTAATCAAATCCTTTCTTGAGATTTCACAAGATTAATCACAAAGTTTGAAGAATGAATTTGATAACAACTTCAGACGCAAGACATCTTTTACATGAGAATTTCTCCAGATAGCTTGTGAAAACAATTTAAGACTTATTATTACAAGCTTTTCGAAGCAAGCATAAAGATAAATAGGGCTTTCACTTTTTTTTTCTGACACATTATTCAATATAAATTTAAAGCTGAAAATAGATAACTTTAAAACAACAGTATAAGTTGGAAAAATTACTTACAGATTTTTAATGTCAACTGCCCCACGGAAAGCCTTCCTTGGAATTGCCTGAATTTGATTTTCACTGAGATCACTGAAAATGACAAAAAAGGAAAAGGTCAAGTTATAAAATATCATTTAAAAATTATTTTAATCAATGTGCTTGACAAATAATAAAACACCTCTTAAAATAGCTGGAAAAATACTATCAGGATCATAATTAAATCCATATCATCAGATGCAATTTCTAATACAAATAATTTACATTCATAATACAGATTAAAGGTTGAACTAAGTGGTTTCTTGAAGTACTTTTCCAGATCTTTAATTTCATAATAAATTGTAAAATATGATTCTCTTAAATTTGAGTTAATTCAATTCTGTGTTATACACTATTCTTTTAACCCCCCCCCCAAAAAAAAAGCAAACAAAAAAATAGTAAATTGTTCATAACTCAATTTCAGGGGGTTCTTAAGTTTTAGTACTTGATATTTCTCCAACATCACTGGCATAACTTAAAAAGTATATAGGAAAGAAGTCCATTTTAACATCCTAGAGAAGAGCAGCCAAAAACTGATAAAACCTAGGCAGCATGATTAAGTTTTCGCAGCGCTTTAAGTAATGTTGAAAATGGAACATGGCAGTACCAGCCCAACAATAAAAGCAACAGTTCTTGCATGAAATATTAACAGCAGGTTGATTTAAAATCTTCTTTAAATAATTCCATTAAAACCATAAACACAGACTGTCTATATTTGCATTTTAATTTAATTGAGAAATACATTTTAATCAAGGGGGAAATAAAGCACTTTTTCAGTTGGAATGAGAAGTTTGTAAAAATCACTCATCTCATGAAATGGATCGTTATTTTTCCCTCAGAGTTCAGACAAATTCAATGAGCTTACATAGTATTAGCCTTAACAAGTAGGATATAAATATACGTGCAGGAAATGTAACTGAAAACAGAGAAATGCCCATCTAATTTTAAGTCACACTACCACACAGCAGAAAGTTGAAATATCAAATAAACAAATTATTACAGTCACAATGATGGTGCTAAAATTATCTTTAAAATTCTAAGATAGCTGATGCTCATTAAGAAAGATGAAACTACTAACCACGGGTGCTTAGCTGATGAAAACAGAGCCATTTTCCAATTATGTGGAAGTGTATGGGATGGATTCATCCCCATCCTCTCCCCTAACGCTTCTTATGACCAGAGCTTGTCGTTCATATACTTGTGGCCACGCAATAGAGATAATTGGCAGATAGAGAGATTTAGTGTGTGGTCCTGACCTCGTTAGCACCAAGTTTTAAACAACTGATACTTGCATTCATACCTCAATATTCTCAATGTCCAAATAAAAAATGTTTGCTAAGCAATTTGTAAAGAAATAAATGTTCGTCTATTTAAGGGGTAAAGGTCTTTAGGAAAAAAAGAAAAAAGAAAAACACACATTTTATTTCAAACAGTAAATTTATAATATATGCTTATGTAGGAGTTAAGGCAGTCATCCATTTCCTAAGTTCTGTAGCTCTGTTACTGCTTTCAATAATTTCAGTATATCCCTAAGAGTAATAAAACTTCATTTCCTTAAAAATTGCTTATTTCTCCAGCTTGTCATTGATCTAGACTGACTTCCTTCCCTTAATTACATCAGGCTAAGAATGTTTAACAGTGTATATTTAACAGCCTTGATGCTGGAAAAAGTGTTGAAAGGAGGCTACCGAGCAAGGAGAAAGTAAAGAAAAACACTGGAAAAAAGAAAAATCAGAACGTAATAGAAATAAGGAGGGAAAAAAACATTGAACCAAAGCAAATTTGAATCTGCAATGCTCCATGGAAACCAACAGTGATGTTGTTACTGCTGTCTCTGTCAAGTCAATGTTTTCTCATCACTTATGTTTCTCTATTTCTCCTAAGACAAAGACTGCCTTGGAGGCTGTAGGTGGATAAAAATGGCAGAGCTGTTTCTTCAGATCTTGCCAGCTTTCTAGGCTCTGCAGTCTTCCCATCCAGCTGGCTGGGGCCATTTCATTTGCCACCTACAGTCCCAGCTCTGCTCAGTCTCTACGCACAGTTTTTCCTAGGGTCGTGTTCTCAATGGGGAGATGGTGGATGGGAGGAAAGTCAGAGGGCTGGTATTAGGTGGTTCATAGAGATATCACTGAAGAAAGTGAAATGCACAGTCAGAAGAGCATTCCTTCTAAAATGGATTTTAGTAGAAGCTTTTGAGTCCCATAGGCAGAATTCTAGGACGTGGAAGGGTTGTATACTGCTAACATTTACCAATCTTTTCTTTTTATGGAAGAATGAGAAACTGTCAACTGCCAATCTCAGTGCCTCTTTACTCCCCTAGGTCAATGGTTTATGTGTGGCTGCCCCCCAACTAGACTGCTTCCCAGACTAGTTTACAGGTTCTCTGTGTTTGTGTCCAGTCCACCAGGGCAGGCAACTTCAATTCTGGATCACAGGCCCCTTCAGTTAAGTGGACCATGTTCATCAATGACAGGAGAAAGAAACAACACATTTTCAGCACCTACAGTATGCAATAGTTAATTTTTTATAAATAATATATTATCAAATATGATCTGTATTTCCTTTAATCCCCATAACCATCTTGCCAAGTAGGTAACATTATCCTGGTTTTATAGGAAAGGAAATTAAGCTTCAGAAATGTAAGGTATTATTTCTAAACAATGAGACAAATGGTTTAAGTAAATATATAAGAAATACAGATAAATACTGAGTCAGGATTTGAGGAATTCTAAAGATGACACAAGGGGCTACTTAATCAATCTCAATATGTCCTTCTTGTGCCCCAGAACTTAAAAGGCTTTTCCTTAACTTATCATAGCCTCTGGTTTATGTCCTTTGCAAAATGACAGATTGGACTGTGTTAGAAATGACTCATATTTTCTATATATAATCAGGGGGAGGTTACTAGTTATTTCAATCCAACATATACTCATTTAAGATCTACTATATGCAAGGTATTGGCTGATGTTGCAGGATTGCTGAACTGGGGTAAGGCCTATTTCCTGGCTTCAGGAATTTTCAAATCCAGTAAAGAAGATAAGCAAGTAGCCAAACAGAAGGCCAACTGAGAGATTTAAACAAGTTATCATGAGTCTACAAAAGCAAGACAGCACACTAAGTTTAAAAAAGGTAATGTGAATGTGTCCAGATGTAAAGGTGAGGGAGTGGAGGACAGCATTTCTAGTGAAATAAATGTCACAAGTGAAATATGGAGGGGAAAAACCAGAACTTTACATGAGAGTAGCCTTTGGTCTGATTTGCTTAGAATGTGCAACATCTACAGTAGAGTAATAGGAGGGGAGGTCAGAAGGTTAAGTCAAAGGTGTGATGAGTAGATTTTTTGGTACCAACTGAGAAGTGCATTCTTATTTCAGCACACAATAGTGGGGAGGGAAGGGTGGTAGATAGGAGCAGGACAGAGGCTGGACCTCAGATAAACTAAACTGGCAATGGGATTTAGGATGAATACGTGGAGTCAAAGACTTGAGTCTGGAAGACCAGATACAAGACTTCTATGATAGTCGGGGAAAGGGTAGTGAGAACATCAAGCGATAAAACAACCAAAAATATATCACTTGCTTACCATGGGCCAGTTAATAACTGCAGCATCTCCTACTCTATAGAAAAGGCGGAGAATATTGAGTGGTATCAGGGATGCATGAAAAAACAAAACTCAGGAGTAGATTGTAGGTGGATATGGACTCAGCAAGGGAGAGAAAGGAGACAGAAGTTACTTTGAACTTAGATTAAAGGTAGTGTTAATAAAATTGGGAAATCAGAAGAGCCATTTGCAGTGTTCATTATGAGTTTGGTTTGGGAAGTTTTTCAATACAGTTAGAAAGATGTGATATATCACGTAGTTTGGTGACAACAAAGATAGTATATGCTAAGTAAAACATGTGTGGTAGCTGAGAAAGGTGATCTAGAAGATCAAAGAAGTAAGTCACTGGAGGTTAGATGGATTCAGGCCACTTTCAAAATAGAATGGGATTTTTTTTGAACCTTGATGAAAATGACAGAGCTCAGTAATTCTCAGCCTTCAGTCCTGGAGAAGGGGATGGTAGAAAGTGGTTGGCTGGAATCCAAGGAGAGAGCCAGAATGTCAAAGGATTTAAGAGCATAGAGTGCAGACCTAGACTATCTGCCATTTATTAACCACATGCCCTTGGAAGAACTGCTTACCCTTCTGTGCCTCAGTTTCTTCATCTGCAAATGGAATAATGATAATGTTACTGCATAGGACTGTATGGTGAATTCAATGAGTCCATACTTTTTTTATTTTTTAATTTTTCTAAAGACTTCATTTATTTATCAGAGAGGGGGGGTTCATGAGTGGGGGAGGAAGCAGATGAAGAAGCAGGCTCCATGCTGAGCAGGGAGCCCAATGCAGGGCTTGATTCCAGGACCCTGGAATCATGACCTGACCCACAGGCAGACCCTTAACTGACAGAGCCACCAGGAGCCCCAAGTTTATACTTTTAAAATGCTCATAAAAAATGCTCAGAAAGTACCTGCACATAGTAAGCACCACAGAGGTGTTGGTTATATACATGATACAACTGTTTTACTCAGAGACTGTTATGTGCCCCTGAGTGTACTACTTTGTTCCTTGAAGACCACTGCAGGCGATGTGAGACATTACTGATGAGAGTGTGCTGTTCTGTGAACTGTGTGGAATGAGAAAAAATGAGTCAGAACTACTGAGTTAGCAGGATGGAGCTGCCAAGGGAAGAGTCTGTAATTATATCACTAGGCAGTAGAGTGTAAAAATGTGTTTCAGAGTAGGAAAATGGCTTGACTGGAGTTGATTTTTAGGAAGATTAATCTGGAAATTGAATTTTGGAGCAGGCAGGGACAATGGGCAGAGAACTGGTATTGGGCAGTGTTGGTGGAGAGAGACTGTGGGTCTCTAGTTAACTAGAAAATTCTTTCTGGTGAATATTAAGTAATAAACTTGAGTTTGGCTCAGGTCCAAATATAAGGTCCTCAATGCAAGTTAAGGTTATTTTCATCTCAAGGAGAGATGATTTTCTGATTAAGGAAATAACAAAATA